TTCCCTGCCCCAATGATATCCCCAGAAGTCATTGTGGGGGGCTGGGAGCAGCAGGAGTCCCCGGTGTGGGAGGGCCACCCCGTACAAGTCTCTGTGCGTGCAGCTCGGTGTGGAACGGCAGCTTCTCCTTATCACTTGGAGGCTTGCTCCTACAAGGCAGAAGCAGAACTCAGCATGAGCCTGGCACGGCTTTCGCCTTCCTCCCCCTTCCCCGCCATCTGCTCTGGTGGGGGTGACGCGTCCCTGGGGCTGGGGACGGCACAGGTGGCATGGGTGGCCCCATGTGCACAGGGACCCTCAGGGTGTGCAGGGACCCTCTGGCCCTGCACCGTGGACTGTGCCATCCCACTGGGCTCCCGCCTCTGCCTCTTAGAGGAAGCTGTTTTGCTAAATATAAGCACCGCAGCTCACGGGAAGGTTGCTGAGGTCTGTGGTGTGAGCGGCTGGAGGGGCAGAGCAAAGGGTGCCGGTAGCACTTGGTGGCAGCCGGCGTTTCATAGATTCTATCCCGCTGTGCTGGGAGGCGTTAGCACCAGTGAAGCACACTCCTGTGTGGGGTCAGATCCCGGCTCAGCACTGTTTGGCACTCTGCAGCACCTCTATAGACCCCTCATAACTTGCTGCTGGGAGTGGTGCTCCTCCCTGCGTGCCCGGAGGGCAGAGATAGGCTGCTGGGGAGGGAAACGTTGTCCAAGGGTGGAAGGGACACCCTGGGACATCCCCACAGTGGCAAGTTACAGTCCCATCTGGTGGCCCGGCGTGACCAAGAGCAGGGCTCACCCTCACAGCCCACGTCCTCACAGCTTCTGACAGGCCAGTTTGATGCAGAAAACCTTCTCCCCTGCTCCCTTCTCCCTCCCCAGTCACCTAAGTGCCAGGATTGGGGCTCGGTTCCCCTGGCAGGGGGGAAACCCCTGCTCAAGCACCTCTGCTGAGCCCCAGCACCCAGTTCCCAATGGGGACTGCCCCTTTCCAGAGCCCGTCTGGGAGGACAGTTTGAGCCAGGGCATCGTCCAGCCATGGGACCACCCGGAGCCAGGCATGGGGCCGTGTCGGAGGGGAGCAGGGCACCGGGACACTGGCAGGGCACTGGCAGCCGTGACATGTGTGCTGGCAGCCGTGACATGTGTGTTGCGGCTGGCTTGTTTCCTGAGGGTTCCTATCGGCCCACTTTCTACAGCACAGGTTTCAAAGCCTCTGCTTGGTCTCTTCGGTGTCTGCCAACCTGCTGATGCAATCTATATTTAGACGCTAGCCTCCTTGGGCTGAGGCAGAGAGCCCTGTTCTGTCTACGGGTTCGCACAGCAGGAAGGTCTTGCCTGCTCCCTGGAGGAGGCAGATGGGCAGGATTGGAAAACACCCCTTGGGCTGGGGGATTGGGCTTCGTGAAGATGCTGGCAAGGGCTGGAGGAAGCGAAGATTAAAGTGAAGGTTGGATCCTTCCAGCACATTGGCCTGTGGGATCCTTCCCTTTTCCGGGCAGCACCCATGATGACACTGTCCCTCAAGGTCCACGTGTCCAGCTGCCCATCCATCCATCCATCCATCTATCCATCCATCTATCTATTCTTCCCTCCATCCTTCCATTCATTTTTCTCTCCCTCTCTCCCTCTCTCCACCCATTCTTGTCTCCCTCCATCCCTCCCCCTCTCCCCTCTCCCTTCTTCCATCTATCTATCCATCCATCCATCCATCCATCCATCCATCCATCCCTCCATCCCTAGCCATCAGCCTTTGCTGCACCCTGGGGCAGCTTCTGCTCTACCTTCAGCCCTACTCACGGTGGATCGTGCTGGGGGATGTGTGCGGTGATGGTGGGAGCATCTCTTGGGAGCAGGACAGGGTGAGGGACACTCAGGGCTCGTACTTAGAGGGCAAATGCCACGTTGGACAGCTGGAAATGTGGGGTTGGGACTGAGCCTGAAGGGTTTCCCAGGGCATGGCAGAGAGCTGAGCCCCTGGGAGGGCTTGGTGGAGGAGCGGGGAGGGGGAAGCTGGAGACTGTTGGACTTGGAAACCTGCTGGACCTCTCCAGGCAAAAAAAAAACCATGAGATAGGATGGGCTGCTGGGGGGCTCCCTGTGGGGCTCAGGGTCCCAGTGTGGGTGGGTGGGGACGAGAGCTGTCCAAGACCTACCCATGAGCTCAGGAGATGCAAAGCATGAGATCCCGGGGATGGGGTCACATCCTCCCCCAGCCGGGGCACTTTTGACACTGGGGGCACTGGAGTCGGCTGCGGAGTTGTGTGTGGGCATGTCGGGGGGCCCACGCTACACTCCCTCTACCCCCCATCCATCGGGGTGCTGGCTGACATCACTGCCTCCGGGTTAATCTCTCGTCCAGCAGCAGCTTCCCGTTTCCTTTCCAATCTCTGCGCCGCAGGGCGGCTCCTCTCTACTCGGGGCCAGGCAGGAAAAGCC